AAGATTTCAGAACAATTACTAGAAACACTTAAGTCCTTCTGCCCAAACATTGTATATCTCGAAATTTGGAATATCAAGTTCTCCTCACAACTCATAGATCTTATTGGTAATTTACAAAATCTTCAATTTCTCAAATTATGGCGTTTGGAGTGGTCTGATAACATCGCACCAGAAGAACAAGTTTTACAGTTTGCAAAAATATTACCATCAACATTGCAATATCTTGACACAAGGACTGATTGTTTTGAGTTATATATTGATATTTTGCTCAGTAATTGTTATGCACCTTTAAAAAAGTTGATAATTTATGAACTTGATAACGAGAAAAAGGCTAAGGCGCTAATCGAATTCTGCATAAGAAAAAGTACTTTGAATTATGTAGGTGTAGACGAATATTTGAATAATAAATTTAAAAAAGATGTAGAGGGATATGTTCCAGTGGTACCATCTGACCACATTGATGTTACTTGTTAATTTCTATAAATCATTTTTAGAATTAATTTTTATAAAATTTTAAGAGATGTAATAGTTTGATGCGCATATAAATAAATAAATAAATGCTACTACAATGCATTTCATATTATGATAGTTAAGATACTTTAAATAAGTCTCTAAAATTATCGGCTAATGGAACAATAGCCTTATAATTGTGGGATATTATAAATTATTTCATCATAAAGTCTTATTAAATTAATAATTTGCTTTTACGAAAATAAAATCAAATCCATGAATGTGAATACGAATTCATGGTGTTATGAAATAAAAATTTGGAAGCACTTTTTCAGCTCTACAAAATAAGTAATTTAGTAATCGGCGAGGTAATTTAGAAGTTAAATAAGAGATATACTTACACAGTTTAATTTAGCCAATAAGCATAAATATAAGTTATAAATTTATTAAAGCTTGGTATTGTTTTCAAAAGGTTTACTTCGCTAATTTATTTTGATTATAATCTAAAGAAATATTGCAAGCAAATGGGTTAACGACACGACGCAATATACTATGATTTTTATAAAAACATTTTTTTAATTATATATCTTTGTTCAATTTTTTTTTCTAAAATTTTACTTTCACTGTTGCTTAAATTTTTACAAAATATTGCACATTAAAAAAAACTTATACATGTGTATCTTGTGCATATAATTTTATGCACAGAGTAGGTTTATAAATTCAGTAGGGCGCGGGTTCCCTATTTAACAGTATATTTGTTCATAATTTGTTGTTATTTGCGAACAATGATTTTAGTAAATATTGATATGGCAGGCAAAACTTATATTTGTATTGAGTTTTCAGTTAAGTAATACATATTCAATTGCGCAATCAATAATTGTCGCAGCTGATGCTGAAATTCGGACCTAGTTTGATATGAAAAATTAAAAATTTTTTTGGGTGTTTTTATCCGCTTTGTTTTTTTTTTAGAGTTAGATTAGGATTTAGGGTTAGAATTGATAACTAAAGAGTATATTTGAATTTTAGCATGGCTTATATTTTCAAATCAAGACCCCAAATTTCAGCATCAGTCGTTTTCAGCATTAGCTGTGACTACGGTGTACCATAGGTACCCAAAGTGACATAGTTTGTGTTTTTAGTGTTTTGATGTTTTAGTGTTTTAGCGTTATTGACATTGAAAATTATTTCTATAAAAGAAATTATTACCAAATTTAGCAACAAATATTTTGATTTTGTGTTTTAGTGATTTAGCATTTTAGTGTTTTAGTGATTTAGTGATTTAGTGTTTTAGTGTTTTAGTGTTTTAGCGTTTTAGTGTTTTAGTGATTTAAGGTTTTAGTTTTTTAGTGTTTTAGCATTTTAGTGTTTTAGCGATTTAAGGTTTTAGTGGTTTAGTGTTATAGTGTTTTAGTGATTTAATGTTTTAGTGTTTTAGTGTTTTAGTGATTTAATGTTTTAGTATTTTAATGTTTTAGTGTTTTATTGTTTTAGTGTTTTAGTGTTTTATTGTTTTTAGGAAATTGTTCCAAATATAGTAGTTATGATAGGCTGATACGTAACGGGTGCATCATGCATAATCATTAATGTATTTTGCTCCGTTAATACATTTTGTTCTGATAATGTGTCTAAGCCAGATGATTGAATCACCCAGAATTGCTCTCCAGAAGTTCAGATGATATTCTATGTAATTGCCATAGCAGGGGGTCGTCTAAAGCGGAGCAGAATCACGTGATATCTGGCCAATCAAATTATAGAATTTTGATGATCGCCGGCGA